CTTAAAATCAGGGGGAAAGATGATTAGATTAGAAAGGAAAAAGAAAAAAAACAGCCGTAGGATGAGGTGGGAGCACGGATGGAAGCATGGGAAGGGAGCAGCCAAACCGGATCCAGCCCGGTGTAGCTAGTTTCTTATCCGGTTTTGTGTTTTTTGTTCTTGGTGTGACCGGCTCTTGATGAGAATTAAGGGCATCCTCAACGGCGATTCGTAAATTTTCTCACGCATCCATCCATGAACAAAAGGACCAGCCCGTGAAGACGAGGGGAAGCCATAATACAACGATGCCCGCATACATTTTAAACATTTTTTTAACAAACAGGATGAAAACGATACCGGACTAAGATAAAATTAGTCTACGGCTGGCGTCGGTAGATATCCATTCCGACGACATGGATAACCTTCACTAGTCTACTGTCGGTCGCGGCGGTTCTCCATTGTCGTCCTCATGTCCGGCAACCGCGAGCCCTGGAGGTATACGCTTCAACGCCAAGGGTGGCTCGCTTCCCCACCGCTCATCAGAGTGTACCGTCGGCTGGTGCTTCAAGCGAAGGGGAAGGGTCCCTATGATGTACGGGTCGGAGTTGGTTTTTGGGTAGGGGGACGACGGTGGCCTACGACCGGGCAAGACATCGGTTGTGTACGCCGGCGTCGCCTCGGCGGTGACGTTCATGGGACCCAAGCGGCGGCGGCCTCGCGTGTTCTACTACTCCTCGATGATGGCGACGGGCGTGGACGTGCGGTCTGCCACCTCATCGATGTCCGCACAACCGACTTCTTTCTCTGCCTCCAGGGCGTGGTTACACGCGTGTTGACGGTGGATGGCGCGGTCGCAGGCATGGGAGGCACGGTAGACACGGCGATGGCAGCGATGCTCGTGTCATCATGCTCCCCCGTGCCGGCCTGGAGGAACTCGACACTCCTCCCACTAGCTGTCCTGAAGCGGCGAGTTGCTGAATCACGCACCAGCTTGGAGCGGCAACTTGCTCCGTTGGATTAGGCGAGGGAGGTGGACCAGCGAGTTGCCTCGCTCGTATCTGGCGGGCTCGGCAGGCCACCCAACCTTCTTTTATGCCGGAGAACTGCTATTCCTGCTCGTCGGATGCCATCAAAAGGGTTGAGAAATTGATGAAAGAAGGGGATGAGGGGCGACGGAGCGATTATTGCCCGACGTCTTGTCTCTTTTAAATAGCGCGCGAACGGAAGGAGCTTGCTCGTGTTGTGGTTAATGCCGCCCCAATCGTGAACGGACATATGGTCATAGTAAGTTTCTCGACTTTCACGCGGGTTTAATGAAAACGTTAACAAAAACGCTAACCCGGTAACGACCACCAAACCCGTCAGTGTAGATGGTTAAGTGCCCGTTAGTGTAAACATTTCTGGAGTAGCAAGATCATGAAGGGCTCATGTGCATCATGGTACATGTAGTAGGACGCTTTAGGCTTTAGCTAAACTGGACTAGCTCCCTTTTGACCAGACCCTAGAGTGCCAGTTAAGCTAGCTGTGGTCAAGCGGAGACAGCTCACTTCAAGCTTGCTAGCTTCATGTGACGCGACCGGACTAATGCATAATTCTTGTACGAATTAATTTGCATATTTTATGCGCCTCGTCGCTTTTAGCATGTGATTCCGGTGCGATCGCACGTAGTGCGCGCGGCCACGCACCATTTCGTTCTTCTCGGCGTATATATATATCTCGCCCACGCACAAGTGCACAGTACAGCTAATGCAAGTTTGACTTGCATAAATATCTATCTAAATCACTTCTAAATATTAACCGTCCGGCCCCCAAGAATCGAATGTTACGTTATTAGCAGGCACACATGTGGGCAGGAGTACTATCTTGCATCGATCACCTCGATCTTAGAGAAAACCAAAGTTCAATTCTCCCATGGCACGTACTCCCTCCGTTCCTAAATATTTGTCTTTCTAGACATTTCAAATGACTACTACATACGGATGTATGTAGACATATTTTAGAGTGTAGATTCACCTATTTTGCTTCGTATGTAGTCACTTGTTGAAATGCCTAGAAAGACAAGTATTTAGAAACGGAGGGAGTAGTTCTGAACTGAAACCAAGTTACTCTGTATACTTACAAGAAAGACTAGCTGAGTAAAGCGAGTTCTAGAGCTAGCTGCGTGGTAGTGCTACTAGTCCCATTACTGCAGCTCTCCTGATTAAAGCCGACCAGTTACTGCTGTGACCTAAAGGTTTACGTGAGGGAGGACGCGTAAAACGACAGCTTGGCATGATTAGTTCACGTATCAATATTCCGTGTGTCAGGCGCACCATGTGTAACATGTCCGCTGTCGGGCCTAGCATGCCCTACTTCCAAATGGGCCTTTTCCCTTTCTCTTCCTCCTTCCAATTTACTCGCAAGTAAACACAGCTTGTTCCACAAACTTCACCGTACCCGCGTATATATATATACATGCGTACGTACGTGCTCCTGATCTCTGTCTTGGCGCGCTTAAGTTAAGCACTACATACATGTGATACGTACGTACGTGCGTTGCAAGGCCAGAGAAACACCGATACTTGACTGGAATTAAGCCAACATTTTTGTCCAACTCATACTCTCCGTAGCAGGAAAGAACTTTGCTAGCTTACTGTGGACGATACGATGCGATACGTACGTACCGGTACAACGTTACTACGAGGATTGGGTGCGTAGATGGAGGCAGTGCATGCTATTACTAACTAGGATGGCGAAATTATGGGCTCCCAGTAGAGTACATGCAAGCACTTATGGAACCCAAGCAAAGGCGTGATGGGTCGGGGAAGCCCCTTTACGTTGCTACTCCGGCATGCATCATGGCACATGCATCATTTCATGCATGCCGCGTTTGTCTCAAAAAAAAAAAGCATGCATGCCGCGCAGTCACTCGCACATAACCGAACACGCACCACGCCCGCCGGCCGGCGTCCAGCAGCTAGCCGCTTGCTTGCCACCCGGGCCGGGCAAGGAAGAGTAATTGGCCTCCGGCCTATATAAAGAAAGATTCCTCGGGCCCGGCTGGCCGTCTAAGCCCGCACGTCCTCGCCGGAGTCGGCCTCCCCGATGAACCGGAACTTTACAGACTGGGTAGTTTGGTTAGCAGCAGCAGCGAAGAGCAAATGCGTGAAGCGGGCAAGCGTTGCTGCGTGCCACAGGGGCTTTTATTGCATGCCGAGACCGGCAGGGAAACGAGCACCAGCGACAAGGCTCTGGGGCGGGACGGCGATCAAAGAAGGAAACGCTTGGAGACCTCCCCGGAATGGAATTATTTTTGACCGGGGTGGCCATTCTGGGTGTCAGACCTTCCCGCCTGGCTAGCGGTACGAAATGCCCCGCGCGAGGCAGCATTCATTTCGCGTCAGGCAGGAGAGATGATGCGTTGCATGATGCTTCCCTTCCATTCCCTTGCGCGTCGTCCACTTCGCCCGTCCGTCTATGGCGAGTGGGGCTGGGGCGACACTCGCCGCAGGCTACAGCTCACGGGGTCACGTGGCGCGTCGTGTGCTCATGCACTCGCTCTCAATGCGTTAGGGTTAAAGTAGTAGTAGTAACATGCACGGCAAAGCTCCCGAGCTCAACGGGATGAACAGTAAAACTCAGAGAAAGAAAAAATTCAAAAAATATTTGGTTTCTTTTGTGCAAACATTGACAAAAGTTTTACACGCTCACAATATTTCATGTTGAAAAGATATCTTTGAAGTTGTGGCAAAAAAGAAATCAGCAATCCAAAATGCTTTTGAAAAATAACATTTTTGGAGCATCAATTTTGCTTTTTTCCACGACTTTCAAAAATGTTATTTCAAGATGAAATTTTGTGAGCACGCACAAATTTTCTCAATGTTTGTACCCAAAAAAAGTTCAATTTTTTTTGGATTTTACTGTTCATCCAAGTTCAATTAAGCTCCGGCTCAGAAACTCACATCCCATGCACGGCTGATTCCCCTCCTTTCCTTACCAAAATGAAAAGCACAGCGGTGGGGACGTTATGTTTCTCAGCTCGAGCTCAAATGAGCTTGAGTGAACAGTAAATTCTAAAAATATATACATAAGGAAACTATTTTATTTTCGTGGCAAACACTGACAAATATTCTGGGTGTTCGTAAAATTTTATCATGAGAAGACATTTGTGAAAGTAATAGAAAAAAACAAAATAATAAATGCTCCTAAAGTGCTAATTTCAAAAATATTTCAGAGTGTTGATTTTGTTGTTTTTCCACGGCTTCAACGGATGTCATTCCATGGTGAAATCTACAAGCACTCAAACCATTCGCTAAAGTTTGATACACACAAAATTCAAATCCTTCAGAATTTGTTTTTTTTTGGAATTTAATGTTCATCCCGAGCTCATTTAAGCTCCGAGGTAGAAGAGCACTTTCTCAAGTCTCAACAACGGAGCTATGTTGAGGCGAGGGGGGGCTAGAAAATTTCATTTGAAGTGCCTATATGAGGGAATAATTAGCCTTTTGCACCCTCAGATCTTTGTCATTTACGTTTCGCCCCCGCTGGTTTTTGTAGATGCTCTTAAAGCGTTGCTAGGCCGAGAATGGAGCTGTGATAAAAGAGAGAGAGACGCATGTGGTCTGGCGCGCACATGAGCGTGCACAGAGAGAGAAGATGGGTGGGCACGTTGGAGGCCTGCCCCTGTGCTGGGGTACCCTGTAGCAGGCCAGCTTCCGTTCCCCTCCGCACGCTAATCCTCTACCCCCCCTAATCGCACCACCTTCAACTCTCTCTCTCTCTCTCCCCTCCGTCCTTCTCTCCATTAAATTATCTCGCAACTGCCCTTCCTGCTACTGGCGACTGATTGGAGCTCGCCCTTCAAAGCCCAGCGCGCACTATTTCTTCTCCGCCCAGCTCGCCTCCTCCCTCGTTCGCACCACTTTATAAACCTTCTCGCACACTCACACTCCTCACTGCTAGCTTAGCTCGTACTGGAACGGCCAGTGCCAGTGCTCTTTAAGTACGCGGCACACAACCTTGCTGCTCTCCCGGGGGCTGGAATGGCGTCCGAGTGGGAAATGGCCATGGGCGTGGAGCTCGGCATGGGAATGGGCTCCTACCACAACGCCTCCAACGTCCACGCCGTGCCCATGGGCCACCAGGCCGGCGGCTACTCCGCGGCCGCTCACCATTTCTACGGGATGCAGCCCATGCGCGACGCCAGCATGCGCGTGGATGAGCTTCTCGACTTCCCCACCGCGGGCGCCCACGACTTCTTCCCCGCCGCGCCGGACAACGGACTCCACCACCATCACCACCTCGGCGCCGGCGTGGGCGAGCTGTCGGCCACCACCCCTTCCGCCACGTCGTCGGATCACCAGACGTCCATGCTCTCCTTCGCCGACGAGTTCTACATACCCGTAAGCACCGCATAATTGACGAACGCGTAGCCCTTGCAGATGAAATTGTGCATGATCGTTAAATCGTGTGCATTCTGACACGTACTCGTGATCATCGAACTGCTGACCTTACCTGAATGTGTATGTACGTGTGCGTTTCAGAGCGAGGAAGCCGCGGAGCTCGAATGGCTATCCAAGTTCGTGGACGACTCCTACTCGGACATGCCGAATTACTCATCGGCCGCGCATGCGGCAATGGCGGCGGCTAACGCGGCGAACAACGGCGGTGGCAGCTCGGCTGGTCAAGACAGCTGCGTCACAGCGGTGCCAGGCCGCGGAGCGCGAAGCAAGCGGTCGCGCGCGAGCGCCGCGGCCGCCGCCGCATGGCACTCCCTCATGCCGCACCCGCCTTCGCAGCCATCGCCCTCGTCCTCGTGTTCCTCGTCCGACTTCCCGTCCTCGACGACGGCACGACCTAGCGGCTCCAACTGCGGCAGTCGCGGCAAGAAGCAGGGACCCGTCGCCGGCGGCGAGGTGGGCCTGGTGGAGGGCGGCGTGCGGCGCTGCACGCACTGCGCCTCGGAGAAGACGCCGCAGTGGCGAACGGGGCCGCTGGGGCCCAAGACGCTGTGCAACGCGTGCGGCGTGCGGTTCAAGTCAGGACGGCTGGTGCCGGAGTACCGGCCGGCGGCAAGCCCCACGTTCCTGCTGACGCAGCACTCCAACTCTCACCGCAAGGTGATGGAGCTGCGCCGCCAGAAGGAGCTCGTTCTCATCCGCGGCAGCCACCGTCTGGACGCGGCAGCGGCGGCGGCCGGCCCCGGCCCCGGGGTGACCGTGAAGCCGGAGCTCATGTTCCATGACTACGGCATATGTTGATCGTTTGAGCCGGCCGTACGGATGTACTCCTAGCTAGTTAGCCGTGCATCATCGCGCGCCCGCGCAGCCTAGCTAGCTAGCTAGATCCCTTTGCAAAATTCTCAGGCCTCCTTTTCTTCACTTTTCGCCTTTTTTTCTCTCCATATATTTTGCATCTTTTTGTTAATTAATTTGTTGGTACCTACCTCCCTTCCAAGTTCTACTACGAGTGATGAATATCAAGTTCTGTTGGTACAATTGCCATCGTGGCCAATCCAACGCTGAATTGTGGTATAATTTCTCAAGAACTTCGTAAATAACGCTAAATTTGTTAATCGAACGAACGGCCAAAATCTACCAGAGTTTCACGGATTATTCTTCGAGTGTCAGGATTCGTCTCTGCCTCCTACAAAAAACATCAAACTGGCTGCTTTTTCCATGGCAAAATCTGAGCGATGTTACTGCCGGTCATGCAAGAAGCTCGAGTGCCACTAGCTACAGTAGTTAGAGCCTGCGCGTTCGGTCTGTTCGTTCTCGTTAGCACCAGCCAGTGTCTTGGCACATTGGGGTGCTGCAGCTTTTCTCCGTGGTTACTGCCCTGCTACTCCACGGACTTTATTTCTCACCGGTAGGTCAAGCTTTTTAATGGCGAGAAAAAGAAAGACGGGTGCGAGAGCCGGGAATGGTGGGTGGCTCGGCACGTGACTCGGGCCCGTCGCGGAGCTTTCCGGCAGGGGAAAGAGTGGGCAACGTTCCGGTCACGTGATGTGCCCCCCCTCATTACGCTTCTCTTCTCTCTTCTCTCTTCACTTATTAGCAGGAGTGGCAGGGGTGTTACTTTTTTTCCTTTGCCGTTTAGCTTCTCCGTGGGGCTGCGCAGGACGGCAGGATGGGTAAAGATGGCTTGGGGCGGAGCCCCGTTGCGGCCATGGAGTGCAGGTGTGTGCAATGCGGCCTGCCGACCTCCATGTGCGCCTTCCTTTGGGTGCACGTCCGCATGTTGCGGTGGCTTTTGTTGGAACTGCACAAGCGCTGCTCGGCAGCCATGTGACGCGTGCTCGGGAAGTCGGAGTAATAATCAATGGGAGTGCCTAATTTAACAGATATAATGTTTTTCTTTTCCCTTTTGCTTTACCCTGTCTATACAAAAGCTTTTTTTCCCCTTCTATTGCAAACAAAATTATTTGTTTCTATTTCTACTAGCAAACATACCCGTTGCAACAGGAGATCAAAGAATAACACACGTCTCAAATGTGATACGCATTCTCATGACCCTTTACAGGTGCACGCCCTCTATTTTTGTAACATCCTAAAATTCTAAATTTTGGAATGTTATAATAAATAGATAGATTTGATGGATTGTTTGATTGATTGTCTGAAAGTGAGTGAATTCGAAACTTTTTGAAAGTTAAATGAGAGGGAATAAAAGGACTTTCCCAAACTTTCATATTTGCTTTCTGATCTCCATGGATTCAAATTCTTTCAAATACAAAACCCTTGAGTGAAGATGATATGACTTCTTCCATTTAAAATAAATGAAAAGGGTTTTGAAAAGATTTGAATTTCATTTGGAAATATTTTTACTTCAAAAACTTCAAGCAACTCAATGATTTTCATGAGAGAAGATAAAATAACTTCTTCAAATTATATGAAATATGAGTTGGGAGTTTAAAAGGATCAAAATTTAAAATCCTTTTGAAATTATTTTCAATTTGGAATTGTTTGAGTTTTATTCAAATTATTTTCTCCAAAAATAAAATAAATGGAAAATAGGGTAACATGATTCCCTACATTAGAAAATTGGAGAAAAATTAATTTGAAATCATTTTGGTATTTTTAAAATGATTTTTGTTGGATTTTAATAGACCAGTAGCACTCTTTGTTTTATCTGAATTTCTATGAATTCTATTTGACTCTAGAAAAATGTTCATGCCTTAGAAAATCTTTTTATGAAAATTTTAATATATTATATGCCTATATTATATTTTTATTTATTTTGCTTTTATTATTTTTATTTGTTTGGAAATGTTTTTTTTTAACTCCTCTGACTGGGCCGGCCCAGCCAACCGGGCCAGGCGGCAGCCCAGCCGCGCTGCACCGCCCCCAAGCTCGGGACGGAGTCCCGAGCATCACCGCCGCCAGCCGGAGTCCGGCCGGACTCCGCCGCCTCCTCCTGCCCCTTCCCCACGCCACCTCCTCGCCCCTCCTCATAAAGCCGCCGCCCCGGCCCCCGCCCCCTCTCTACTCGCGTCGCCGCTCGCCTCCTCGCCGCGTTGCGCCACCGTCGCCCGCTGCTGCTGCTCCGCGCTTCGCCTCGTCGCCGTCGCATCGCGCCGCTGCCCGCGCCGCCCTTTGTCGCATCCGCCGCTCGCCGCCTCCCCTCGCTGCTTGCCTGCGCGGCTACCCGCGTCTCGCCCCGTCGCCGGAACCGCCGCCGACATCGCCGGACTCGCTAACTGCTGACGGCGGTTTTCGATGGAAAACCGCCCCGAACCGGTAACCACCCCGGTTTATTCTCGGTTTAGTTCGGTTCTTAAAAAAAACTTAGATCGTTTTTTTATAAAACCGATTTCCTTTTAGATGGATCTATTTAGAGAACGTTCGTTGGTTAGGTGTAGAAAACGAACGTTCGCTTTTTAAGTTTTTTTCTTTTTCTGCTAGTTCTAGACAGGGACTTCTTTGTAGATGTTTTATTTATAGTTTAGCCCCTGATCTCAAAACAATCACTACTTTTTACTCGTTAGTCCAAATTCAACGAAACCAACGCTCACGTCTTCGTTATGATCTCCTCTATCCAGTAATCCAACTCAAACAGGTTTTTGAAAATTTTAAAATTTGAATTAGAACAGATTTAGATTGAAACTTCATTTGATCATAACTTGAGTTTCGTAGCTCCATTTGAGTTGATTCTTTTTGCAAATCGAAGCTCTTGACCTAAACTTTTTAATAAGGCCAAATTCACATAATTTTGGTAATGTTAGAAATTGTTTATATTGCAAGAGTTATTTGCTTGGTTTTAATGTTTTTCGAATCGTTTCCTTCGATCTTTCTGATCTTTTGAGTGATTGCTTATGTGTGGTTACTATTTCTTGCCTACGATAGATTGACCGGAGTGTGACGAGTAGATCTATCAAGAGTTTTGAGTGCGAATAATCTTCATCAACATTGCAGGCAAGTTCACACTTTGATCATATCTCCTTTCATACCCAGTTTTTATGCATTAGTTTCACCCTCAAACATTGCATGAGTAGGATTGATAACATGTGGGTATTGGGTAGTAGTTGATGAGGTAGGACCCTATTGCCCTACATTCAAACCTTGGGAGTTACTAACTTACTATTACGTTATGCTTATAATGCTATGCTATGCTCGTAGACGTGGATTGGGTTTAAGAGTATTTCATGACAGATGTGAGATTGTTAATTAATGGTTTACTTAAGGTGGCAACTTTAACACACATTTGGGTGGATTGAGGCACCTGGGTATTCTAGCGATTGCCTGTCTAGGCACCTGGGTATTCCAGGATTGCCTGTTTTTTATGGACCGCCACCCAGGCTCAAAGGGATCATGAGATTATTCATACTAGAAACTTCCGTGTGCAGCCACAAGCTACTATGGGCTCTAGCATAGTTGACTAAGTTGTGTGAACTCTTACAGTGGTAGACTAGCAGATGTAGGGGAAAGTAGGTGTAACGGTCTACCCGATCGTAAGGTGCTAGCGCTTCTGAAATACTATGTCTCGGTCATCCGTTTCTCAAACAACATGTAGTGCGAGAATCCCAATGGAGGAGATCGAATCTTGTGGGGAAAAGTGCGCAAACCTCTGCAGAGTGTATAAACTAATCATGGTTAGCCGTGTCCCCGGTTATGGACATCTTGAGTATCTAGTACTTGGATTATCATGTGAATATCATCATGTTACTTTAAATTAAGTTTGTTGGGTTTAATGATGTTACTTAATCGGGATTGAGGATGCTGTCAACCATTCTCAATGTTCAACAACCACCATGATAGTTAAATAAAATTTATTCCTTTGCAGTAGGGAAAAATTGGCTTTTCGCGAAAACATTATAACCTAGAGCTTTTCCACCAGCCAAATATGCATGTAGTGATAGCCTTTGTTCATCATTTCTCTCTATGGTGTGAATTTGCCAGTACGTTCAATGTATTGACCCTTTGTGGCTGTAACGTCTCATGCTGCAGGATTATCTTACGATGAGTAAGTGATACGTTAGGGTTACGATTTCTACACTCAACTTTGCCATTAGTGTTGATGGGAATCCACAACCTTGTTACTTCCGCTATTTTGGATTGAGGTAATAGTATTTACATTACTTTTACATGTGATTTACCTCTGTTATAAATCCTCGAGTACTGTGTGTGTCAGCATACCGATCCAGGGATGACACTTAAGCACAGAGACTTGATCCATTCGGGTCGGGTCGCTACAAGATGGTATCAGAGCACATGTTGACTGTAGGACGTGACCCTAGAAACTGGCAAGCCCATAGCAAAGATTTTTCTCTATAACTTTCTCTTTCAAAAAGATCTTTTACCTCTCTTCTCCTCTGAGCTTATTCAAAAATTTCCTTTAGTGAGACCATACGCCTTTCCCCTTTTGACCACACGAAGATTCGACTAATGAGACCACTCCAAGAAGTACAAGATATCGGACAACTAAGATCACTTCGGAATGAAGAGTATTTTCCATGCATCTGAATAATGGAAACTACAATGGTTGAAGACCGAAGACAAGTAGAATTTGAAGGCTCTGAAGAATTCCCAGATTTGTATGACCTAGGAAGGCTACCCTTATGGAACTTGGTAGACTATGGAAGTTGTCAATACCCGAGATCAAGGTGTATCGGAGAAAGACTGAAACAAGGATCATGAGAACTCGAAGTTTTGTCAAAGAAAACCCTAAGGCAGGATATATCAACTATGGAATGATAGCTCATGGGAATGATAAGAGCAGAAACACGGTTATCCGTGATGTCATCGCCCGCTGATGCTATTGTCAC